TTAACTTGAAGGTTTTTGAGAGCATTCACTCTTCTTGTAACTACTCTAGGCAAGCAGAGGCGGGCTCAGGGAGTCAGGCGTGAGAGCTGCTGAGGGCGACTGGTGGAAAGAGCAGGAGGCAGCACCATGAGCAGCGGGCACCGAAAATCCAACACATCCCATGATTTTAAAAGCAGAACTTAATTTGAAGCCTGATGATCTGAGATCCCTTTAGTCAAGGTCTTTTTTTCTGTGGAATTGTGAACAACTGATTTAACTTCTCAGAACCTAGGGCTGGGCATGGTGGTGCACGCCTGTAAGCCTTTGTAAGCCTAGCACTCAGGAGGCTAAGGCAGGAGGATCACTGCAAGTTCGAGGCCAGGCTGGACTACATGGTGAGTTCAAGGCCAGCCTAGAATATATGGTGAGACCCTGTCTGAAAGAAAAACTCAGAACCTCACTTTTCTCATGTTTATAATGAGGAAATACCTATTTCAGTGTTATAGTGAGGGTTAAATGAATGATGTGTCTGAAATGCCTCATTGTTATGATGTGTGTAAAGAGGACAGATGTACATTTATTGTGTAGCATTGTGTATTGAACTCAGGGCCTTGTGCATACTAGGCAGCACTATCACTGTATACTTACTGTTACCCTATACTGTGCTCCCTGTGAGGCAGCTTTAATAATTTCATTATTGATTGGTTGGTTGATTGAACTTAGGGTCTTTTTTACAGAGCTACATTTCCAGTGCTTTTTTTAAACTTTGTTTTTTATTAATACATATTTGTCATACATATTGATCACATTCATCATAGGGAATTTTTCTGTACATAATATATTTTAATTCTCTTTTCCCATTCCCCTCCCCACCCTTGTACTACCCTTCCTCTCCCCATTTACAAGAGAGTAGTTTCCAGCTTTTTCCTTCCATGGTCCTTTGTTCCCTGCTCCCTTCCTACCTTCCCCCTCCGCTCCCTTGGTCCCCTTTCCATTTGAATATTTTCTTCCTTCTTCCCCATGTCTATTGTGCATTTTTGTCTTTATTTTTGCTTTCATTTCTCACACAACAGAAACAATGTGATATTTAAACATTCATCTGATTTATCTTGCTTAAAAGTGTGGTTTCAACGGATATACGTTTACTTAAAAATGCCTCAAGTTTATCCATCTTTATAGCAGAGGAGTACTCCATTGTGTATAAAAACCAGATTTTCTTTTTTTATTTTAAAAAGAGAACAAAAACAAATTAACAAACACAAAAACAGTAAAAATGATACAGAATTTCAAACAAGGTGATAGGAATTAATAGTGGTTGTTGTATTACATATCTTCAAATTGGTTACTCATATAACAAGATATAGGCATGTAAGATTGATCATACAGACATTAACTGTTCCTTTCAATAAGCCAATAGAAAGTAGTAATATAATTATCTTAGCTATCTTGTGTGTGTGTATATATGTATATACACATATACATATATACGCACACACACACACACACACACACACATATATATATATACATATTTTTCCCTTCCTTCTTTCATTCTTTTCTCTTTTCCCTCATCCTAGTTATTCTTTCCTTTTGAGCAGTTTCTTTCTCTTTCACAATATCTGTTGTACTTTTCAGATTTTATTTACTCTTTCAGGTTCTTACACTAGGGAGACAATATGATGTTTACACATGGGAGTCTGATTTA